ATAATTTGAATTTTGACAAACAAACTTATTTAGTTAATTAAATCCCAAAGTTATTTACTTAATTCAAACAAAATTGTAAAAGCCAAACATACCCAAGAATGAACTGTTTCTATAAGGTAAGTTTAGTAAGATTACTTCCTTTTAATAATATTTATATTGAAAATTATCATAGTATTTACCCTATGAAAATCTAAATGCTACACTACTGATTCATGTTCGACTTTCTCCAAAGCATCGACCGACTGATATTCCACATGAATACCATTTTCTAACTCCATACCATTAACATTGTTTTTCGCAATGTCATAAACATCTCTATCTCTGGCGACCACATGATTTGATGTTGAAGAAGCCTGGTCAAGTACCATCTCTACCATCTGCCTACCTCTGCTACTCATTTTTTGTGCTGAAAGAAGAAAAATAAAATTTACTTTACGCTGCAATATGTCGTATGTAGTTATTATTTTATTAAATAATAACCGCAATATTATGTCGTATGTGATTGTTATTTCGATAAACAGGAGGTGACAGTTCAACTTTATTGAAAAAAAAAACATTAAAGTGAAGCATTAGAGTGCTAATTCTATCCATGCCTACTAGAATTGCATCGTAATGCCGGTAAGAATAAGTCCTTCAAGAAAATAAAACTATTTATAGGTTAGAAAATTTACAAACACATGTTTGAGAAGGTAAATCATGTAAATGTTTTGATATTGACCATTTTTTACGTTAATAACTATAAATTATTTTTAACTTACCAATTCTATGTGATAGTAACAAACAAATCAGCACATTTTCCAACTAATTTCAGCATAAAAACACATCGCACTTCACATACGGCTAATTGAAATAACCAGTATACGACTTACGTGTTACCAACCTATCAAATATGTTCACATACGCTTGTTTTGGGTAGCCAATGTAAAACCCGTATAACATAGGCCACCTTGCTACGACGAAGAAACTGGAATTTCTGTTGGGTATTTACATATGATGTTTTGCAGAGTAATAGTCTGGCTTTTATTGGATACTTTGGCATCTTAACCCCAAATTGCATTTTTTTTTACATAGGCCCTATTGCAGTATCAACGACGATTTTGAATCTGTGTCGTCAAACTGTCTTTTAATAAAATTATTTCATCAATTAGTTTTGTGTCATTAATATCTACCTCTTTTTTGGATAAAAATTCAATACAGGGCAAAATATCATTAAATTTAAAGTTTGTACGAGTATCATTTAAAAGCATCCATTGAAATGAATTAAATTCTGCTAATGGAGCGGCCCATTTTTCTAAATAGTCTATACATTTGGCATAAAATTGCCATACTTGCTCCTTAAAATCATTAACTTCTTTTTGTAATCCATTTTTCCTTAACACATTTAACTGACTTCTTACTTTTAATGGTATAAATTGCTCGGAGAGCCTTCCTTGTAGTGCTGTGAGGACTGATGCAAGAATGTCCTGCACTTCCAAAATGGAAATATTTTCTTTTTCAATTAACGCAACGTTTACATGGAAAATGTGCATAGTTGAATGAAACAACCACAAATACATTTCTGAAAATTTACTCTCAAAAAATTTTCTTAGCATAGCTAGACAGTCTTGGTGAGATTCAAAGTAGGATTTAAGTGCCGGATAGAGTTTAAGAATCCGTTTAATGGCTGGAAACATGGATAGCCATCTTGTTTTGCTATGATATAAAAGTGGTTAATAGGATATTTCAACAAAGTCGCAAAATTCTTTTAATGCTTCCGTTCTTACCGTGTAGATTGAAAAGTAGTTAAATATTTTTGAAGATGGTGTAGTCCACATTACACTGCAGTGAATCAGCTCTATGCTGTATACAATTATGAAGAATATGGGCTGGACAACCTACACCAACTATATCTGAATTTAAGTCTTGCTTCATGTTGCTTAAAACATTTTTCTGTCCTCGTCTAGCGAGACCTCCAAAGTTTACATTAGCATTTTCACCGGAAAAAGCGATACACTTGGAAGTAATGTTAAATTTTTTGATGGTTGTTATCAGATATTTTAATATGGCTTCAGCTGTTTCACTTGAAAAGGGCAGATAATTCCAATACCTATGTCTGAATTCCGTTGAACCATTGAAAGTACTGGACAACAACAAGAAACGTTTTAGTAGCTCCATGATTACTTGCATCTGTACCGATACCATAAAAATTTACAGAATTTATACTTGATAATAACGTTTCTTGTGCGTGAGGTGAGAGTACATGATTAACAATTGCTTCGGTTTTTGATCAGAGAGCTTGGGTGATTCATGGGTTGTATAATTGAGTAAAGTAAGTGTTGATCGCCATGCAACTTAAGTAAAAAATGTCAATATCAAGTCAAGACTAAAACTTCACCAAGTTGCAAAAATTTAAAGTTACTAAAAAAAGATCTTATACGAAGGCTTGATATTGACCTATGTTCAAATAAACTTTTCAAATAAATTTCGATAAATAACTTTCCTGAAAGAGAAAATTTATGCACCAATAAAGAAACAACATATTATGTCACTTAATCAATTTATTAAAACGAAACGTTTGTAGTTCGATTTTACGATGTTTTACCTTTTTTTTATAAATAGCAGATTTAAAAAATAAATTGTAAAATATTAAAACAATTAAAATGACTCCATTTAAACGATGTATGTTATATATAATTGAAATTAGAAGGAAATAACTTTCATATATATATATATATATATATATATATATATATATATATATATATATATATATATATATATATATATATATAGTGGAAGGGTAGTCTTTGCTGAATAGTAATGTAAAATTCAAACTAATTTATTGGGGGCAGCAGCAATATATAATAAAGAAAACTCTTTAAAGATGATCCAAGCTTTCGGAAATTTTAATAACTTATTTCCATCTTCAGGGAATCTACAAAAGGTGTGGTGTGTCTTCATAGGAACATAATATTATTAAGAGAGTGAGTTACTTACATCTTTGTGAGGATGAATTATTAATGATGTTAAATGTTATGATTTTGATGCACATATAGAATTAAAATTACACAGTTTTACAATATAACTTAAAATTATTGTGGTTTAAATTCAGTTTGAAATTTAACTGTTATGTCAATTTTTGTGTCATTCGTTGTTTATGTATACAAGTGTGTTAGATTAAATATAGAAATTACTAATAAGGAACCTAGTTAGGAAGATTACTTTGTACCTAAATTATTATTTAATAAAGTTTTATCTGAGAATGCAGTTTGATTAATTATTTCATCATCAACAAAACTGTCACTATGATGCATCTAAGATTCTTGACACAGAATCCAATTATACCAAAAGACTCTTCTTAGAAATGGCTTGGATATACCAAAATCAAAATTGTATTAATAAAAGGACGGACATAAAACATCTAAGTGCTATTTACTCATACTTACTCAACACCAATACAACCCTTCATCACAATAATAGTGACAGTATTATTGCAGATGAAATCTAATTTTTTAAATGACCACCTTTTATGATACAAGTCTGATTAAAAAACTTTTAATATTCAACCTTTCATCATAACAATGGTGACAGTATTGTTTTTGATGAAATAATTTACAACATCCTTTCATTCATCACAACAATTAGTGACAGTTTTGTTGATGATGAAATAATTAATCAAACTGCATTCTCAGATAAAACTTTATTAAATAATAATTTAGGTACAAAGTAATCTTCCTAACTAGGTTCCTTATTAGTAATTTCTATATTTAATCTAACACACTTGTATACATAAACAACGAATGACACAAAAATTGACATAACAGTTAAATTTCAAACTGAATTTAAACCACAATAATTTTAAGTTATATTGTAAAACTGTGTAATTTTAATTCTATATGTGCATCAAAATCATAACATTTAACATCATTAATAATTCATCCTCACAAAGATGTAAGTAACTCACTCTCTTAATAATATTATGTTCCTATGAAGACACACCACACCTTTTGTAGATTCCCTGAAGATGGAAATAAGTTATTAAAATTTCCGAAAGCTTGGATCATCTTTAAAGAGTTTTCTTTATTATATATTGCTGCTGCCCCCAATAAATTAGTTTGAATTTTATATATATATATATATATATATATATATATATATATATATATTCGGTTTACACCTTTTGTTTAAAGATTAAATATTTAAATATTAAATTATAATAACGAAATATTAATTTTAATTAATTATAAACGAAAAAACTTGGTTTGAAAAACAAGTGGTGCCGTGACCATAATAACGAAATATTAAATTTAATTTAAATTAATAAAGAAAAACCTGGTTTGAAGAACAAGGTTCCTCGCTGTTGTTCTTTGATGTCATCCCACGGAGTAGTGGAAAGTCATCAGAAGATAGACTGGCTATTTGTAGATCTGAGCTATAACCACGCTCCAGGTTATTAGAAAGAGGACAGGCTGGGTACATCCTGGAATAATCCAATTTCCATCTGGTTTATGACGATGAAACCAATTGAGGGGCCTAGATTAAAAGGGGTATAAGTGCACTTTTAACTATTTTGAGATATTTGCGTTTAAAGTTAAACATTTGAAAATTCCTAAAAAGAGTAAGGATATTTATTTAAAATTTATTATTTCCTTAATACCTAATAAATTTTAACATTATAACAAGATAAATAAAAACTTTTTCAGAAATGTGCTAAAACTTAAAAAAAGTACTTATACCCTTTTAATACCAACTTTTTTATTTCCAAAATTTACAAAAAAAAATTTTAGTACACAAATAGGCATATTTATTTTAAAGAAATACAAAAACTTAAATATTACTACTATTCGTCATCGGAGTACAAAATAAAGTCAACATCATTTTCATTATTTTCTTCTTGTGTGTCATCTTGTGGTTCTACTTCAGCTATGGCTACTTCGTCAGTTTGGTTTTTGTTCCTGTTAGCTTTGCTTTTATTGTTTCCACTTTTCTCTTTTTTCTCGTGTTGCATACTGTTATAATATTCATGATATTTTGGAGGAACGTATTCCAAAAGAGTCTGCAAATTTTTCCACTTCAGCTCGTTTATTTTTAAACTCTCTGTTTAACTGATCAAACGTGTCCTTTAATGTCAACTTCGGTCTTCCTGCTGCTTTACCAGGACATAAGCATTTGTTGAAAGGAAATTCTGGGTCCAGACTAGTTTTATAAAAAAAGCAGAATCTCTCTGATTCCTTTGTAAAAAAGAAATATTGAATTTCTCTCCATTTAATAGCACGTTTTTCTGTATCTTTTTTTGGGTCGCTTATAATATTATTCAAGTTAGAAAAGCTGAAAAAATTTTCTTTGGACATTTCATGAACCGTAAATTTTTTGCATGAACTCTTTATTAGTTGTCTCCAATGTTCTGGAACAAACACCTGAGGATTCTTTCGTTTTACCTTTTCTATAATACCAAAATCTTGATCATACTCCATAAACGTATGGCCTGGTTCCAAAAACTTATGGTGAATTTCTTGAATTCTTGTAGCTTTGACCAAGTACATGAAAAGTTTAGCAATATTTTTGTTTTTATTTTGTCCTCCACAGGAATCGCTATAAGCAATAATCTTTGTGACATTTTGAGGAACTGCATTAGTTATATAATGAATCAGACAGGATCCAATTTCCTGTGAGCCTCGGGAAGCGATGGTTTCGTCCCAAACGTACATGTCGGACTTTCCTGTCACGAGGTTATGTATACAGAAGTTATATGTCCACAGTTGTCTCAAGTAAAAAACTTTTGAGGTGGTTATATGTGGAGTTGGTAAAGCTTGTTGCAGATCAAAACAAATAACAAAAGTATCTGTTGATTCTTTATTTACATTTGAGTCATTTTGTTTTGATTCTCGTGCCTTTTCAGCCTTTCTGTGATGAACTGTCTGCGATACCTTTGCAGTATTAACTTTTTCTGCATTATCAGAATTTTTAATAATATTATTAAAACCATCACACTTACTGCAAGTATCAGAATTTGGACGGTGGAATCTTAAATTAAATTCCGTGTTAAAAATATGTCGGTAATAGGAATGTTTAACAGGATCTAAATTTTTTTCCGTACAGTGTTCAATATACAAATCGTACATTTTTCTAATATTAAGCTCTGGTGATAAATATCGAGTAAAAAAGTTTGCACTTCTAGTTCTTAATGTGTTCAATAACCACTTTTCGTTTTTCTGACTCTATTTTTCTACCAGGACCTTGACCCCTGTTATCTTTTTCACAAATACCAACAGCGTTACTTTTTTGACAAACAGTAGTAAACCTTTTGTTACTAATATCAAAGGTTTTAAAAAAAAACATTTTGCAGACCCGCTTATTTATGAGAAAAATTTCAGTACTGAAACTCTTGCCACTATCTTCCACTTTTTGTCTTTGAACAGGTTTTTTTTTTAATACAGGAAGATAGAAATGAGTTTTGCAAATCGTAAGATGATAGAGCATAAAATTTCTGAAAAAGAGTCTGTCTATCAGCTTCCAGTACATTTAAATTGCAGTTAAATCGACAACTATGTTGATATAGTGCTAGTTGACGTGGTGGATGAGGTTTGCTTCTGTGAGATATATATGCCTTGCCAGCATTTCTAAGAGATTTTTTCTGGTTTACTTTCCATTTACTCACATTCCGTTTCCTCTTTCTTGTTGTTGATGGGGTTTTGTGATCCCCCTCCTCATTTTTTGTGGCCTCTGCATCAATTTCGTGTATTGGCTCATCGTCCGATGATAATGAATCATTTTCGGGGACGTAATCACTTGCCTCATCTGTTTCGTACGGATCAGCAATATCGGAATCTTAAAGAGAGAAAAAACCGGAAAAATAAACATAACCTTCAAAAATTATGTTATATAAAGCTTTCTTACCTTCTGCATCCGAATTATTCATTGCAAAATAATAATGAGAACAACCAATAGAATAAACACTCAAATTACTAAAAAAATCTTTACAATAACACGAACCGAACAAACAAAACACAAATTTTAACAGCGTATCAATACTTTGTACCTTAAACAATCTGATTTTTATTTGGCACAAAATGGGTACAAGTGACACTTATACCCGTTTTGTACACAGAAAACTGTAGGAATTATTTATATAGTATTTCTACCCGTCAAAAGATGGCAGTCAAAGTCAATATATCACTTGGATTGGTTTTGCACCAAACAAATATCAATTTTAAATTTCTATATATGTAGTTAACTCCAATCCAAGAAAAAGTGCACTTATACCCCTTTTATTCTAGGCCCCTCAATTCCAAAATAAATATTAAAGTAATATATAACGGTTGAAGATATTGCGTTCTTCGAAAAGCAATGAGGAATGCAAAAAAATGTCATCGGCTTGTATGCTCTCTACCGCCTCGTGTTCCTGACACAAAGTTGGTCGGTAGGTACGTCCCTGTTTAAAAGAAAAACGAAAATAATATCCAGACGGAAGAAAACGGCGTTCGTTAAAGAATTTAAATATTAATACTCACCTATTTAATTAGGGATTACAAAACCACAGTGGCCTTAATTTACAAACGATATGGCTTTCTCGGCTTTTGGAACAGAAAAGAAATACGCAGAATATCATTCTACAAAGTTCCAGAAGTTTTATAAAAAATGGTACGTTACCTTTAAATTTAAAAAGAATTCGAAATGCGAAATTCGAATAAGGGTTTTTGATTGGTTGAAAATCAACAAGTTATATAATCGAACAAGTATATTAAGTTAATAACTGTTCAGTAAAAGGCCATACAATAAGAAGAAGAGGCAAGAAGAAGACTGAAATAATTCCATATTCAGATTGATAGAATTAAGTAAGTGACATAACCTCAAATTAAAAGTAAAACAAATCTAATTGTAAACAAATACGAAAACTAAACACTTTTTCTATATTTTAAAAGAAATCCACGAGAAACGATTCATTTATTTAAAGAGACATATACTGATGGTAACGTATTTTAAAATGATTAAACAAAGTTTGTGATTCTATTTCAGAGTGATATATCTAAGCATTGTAAATATGAATACCAAATACCTGCTATCAAATATTTAAAGTATTTAAATGGTTATTTGGATTAAGTATAAAATAGCTCTTGCCAAACATTTCAAGCAAGTGAAATGGATCAATTATTATTGCTTAAATTACATGTTTAATGTACAATGATAAAAAAGGTCAGTATATGTAAATCAATTCTCTGCAGATTAAGGTAAAGTATTTATATGAAAATATGAATACTACAATAGGTACCTTTTTTATTAACGGTATTTTTTCCTAGTAACTTTTGGCTAAGCTGTTTTTATTAAATTAAATAAATAAATATTTAAATACATTTTAGTACAGCCAAGTACATAATATTTTTATTAATTAATTAATTTAAAACATGTCTTTATTGATCAGATCACAAAAATGTCTAAGCTTATTTTTTTAAAATTTATTTCTCACTTTTAACTCGAAGGAGAAGTGTTTTTAAAACACCCTCTATATATTTTTACTGCAAAATTGGGTACCTACCTTTTTAAGAAGAGATGAAGTGCAATCTAACGATCTATAAGACTAATGGTGCGAAACGGTGTGATATGCTAATGTACCTTCTGCAGCTTTAAGTTTAAAATCAACTGAACTATCCTTTTGGACGAAAAAGTTATCCAGTTTCATGCAAGAGGAAGAGGCTTGATGACTTTTCTTGTGTTTTTCCGTAGAAATATGTTTTTCCAAATCTGCTGCTCCTTTGCTGCCAACCGAAACAAACGAATCACAAGGCACACATTTGGCTTCTTCTTCATTTCGGCCTTTTACAAAAATTTTGTATTTTGCCGCCAGTTTTTTGGTAAATTTACACTTTCTTTTAGACATGATGTTTACTTGCTGCTACTGAACTTAAACTGAACTAGTGAACTATAAATACTCAACTGTGAAGTGAAACGTCGGTTTTTATACTCGGGGGAAAGGGAAACCCGCAGTCAAAAGTCAAAACAACTAAAAGCGGTTTCGATTTTACGCACGCTCTCTAGTTGTGTCGATCGATATGGGTTTATCCTGTGTCGGGTCGGTATCGATATATACACGGCGACCGACGCGGCGTTGCCAGCTTGAGAAAGTCGGAACCAGGAATAATGATAATGTGCGTTTCTAGTTATTTAGAATTTTCGATTGATAAAAAGCCGGACACGACAAAAAGCCGGCCTGTTTTCATTTGAGCGAAAAAGCCGGACATGTCCGGCGTTATCCTGACGTCTGGTCACCCTATGTATACCCGACGAGTCACCGAGTGTCTCTGCGGACGAAGCCAAAAGGGAAATAAAGAACGCGGGATAGTTAGCGTGGTCTATCAATAAACACTTCCTGTTGCTTCTTGTTTTGAATTTTGATGTTCTATTATAGTAGGATATACTTGTTTCGAAAATTAAATATTTATTGAACCAGAGTATAATTAAAATTAAAAACGTGGGACCTAATGCCGACAATTTTCGAGGTAACAATCTCCTCGTGAGTTTTACTAACTTTTGGAGTATCTTTAGCTGTCTTCCAAATACTATTGCAACCAAGAAGTAGTCAGGTGAAACTAAAAGTCTCCTGTAAGAACCTTTTATAATATTGCAGCTGATACATTCTCGATCGAATTAATAACATCGAATATGGCCCCAAAGAAACATTCCAATATAGAAAATATGCCACCAGTTTCGCTTACAAATAAACACTTCACTGAACTTTTAAATAAGTTGGTAGTGGCTAGTAAGCCGACGCCTGGGCGAAATGATAATCTGGGAAAATGCACATCGCGTTTTTACGGATCAAAAGACTGTGATGTTAATGCTTTCGTGGAAGCTATTACTATAGGTTTGTTCGCAGACCAAGAATTGCCAACGTTGCCAATCAGTTACTGATTTTTACGTACGCGTGCGCGTTTTATGATCGGTTTCAAACCGGTTGGCAATTTTTCGCTCTACGAACAGCAATTTGACTACACTTTTGCTACCTGGTGGCGGCTTTTTAAAGTTAAGTTAAAACCAGGGCTACCTAACCTCAATCCGATTTTGTCTGAATGCTGAGATAACATATTTATTATATGCACAAAGAAACCACTCTATTTGTAATTATATGTGAATAATTTGTGATAAAATATACTGTGAAGAAATAGTATTTATATTGTAACCAATAAGTAAGATTTATAATAAATAATATTAAAAAATTATTATATGAGCAATAAGAATACTCAAAAGAGGTTCATTAAAAAATAACTACCCTGTATATTGTTAATTTTAAAAAGAAATTGACAGATGTAGTTGACAGCAACTAATTATTATCAAAATAAATGAGATAAACATTGTTAATAAAACATAAATACAGATATAAATAATAACAATTCATAGAATTTTAAATTTTAACTGTATCGAAGAGCAATAATAAATAAATTACAAATACCTTTTTTTTTTTTTTGAAATCATACCACAAGTTATAAACATCCAGTACATAATACAGGAACCAGATATGAGAGTGTCTTTTGTTTAATTTTTCCTTAGTGACAGGGTAGTGAAGGGAAGACAGTAAATAAATGAAGTTTCAGGGGTAGACATTTTGGTTGGTGGTATTTTTAAAATAATCTAAAAGAAACAGTTTAAAATGTTTATATATTGTATATCAAAATAACAAATTGATTGAAATAAGTTTGGGCATCCCAAGACAAGTAAATAATTGTCACAAAAGGTAATATTAAGTGTGATTTCTTGGAATTTGGTTACTTACATTTGAGAAAGGAGGCTTTCCAATCAGTTATTCCCCATAACTGAATATTCAGCAGTGAGTTTGGACACTAGAAGAATTCACCGGAAGGTCACACCAGTCTCAGATAAGTGTTTTACCTAGAATAATTGATTAAATACAATATTACATTCAAATTCAATTACAAACTTTGATAGTGAAACTTACCATGCAAAGTTATTTAATTAGACAGACAATCAATGCAATTTTTGATAAAAAAGTAATTATACATCCCATTATTAATATTATTAAAAAAAGTGTGGTTATAAACTACTCAAATTAATGCTAAAATTTGGCAACGGAATCCATAGATACTAAAAGGTGTAATTAAAAATTTCAGTAGATGTTGCATTAGAAATCTGTATTTTACTAATTTAGGTTGTAA